TCAAGGTTAATGTATAGTTTATCATTAGTGTTGTTATATAAATTAATGGTTTATGGTTTATGGCGAGGATTATAATTCTAATTGTTTTATTGCAATTATAATTATCATCATAAAAGTATGATTATGATTGTTATGATGAATGTTATTATTATTGTTAATTATAATAATAATAGTAATGATAATAATAATAATAATAATAATTTTGTGTTGTTGTTATTGTTATTATTATCATTATTATTATTTACTATTATTAAAAACTTCTTCATTAATGAGTATTTCCCCGTTAAATGTGCCTCGCACCAGGACGGTTTTTGGAATAGTCGTTTATCACATGACATTTATCATCGATAAAATGCCAACAGTACCATGTACATAATCCATGTCTGGTGTCTTATTTCCCAGTGCTTATATTATTCATACAGACGATGGAACCTTTCTGGATTTCTATATCCGTTTCAGCTTGGCCTTGTGAACCCAGTGATCCGAAGGGCTTGGCAACACTGTCGCAGGCTGTTCACGTCAAACGCTGGGGCCGGCCGGCGGGCAGCACGCTCATCCACATTAACTGACGACACTTGTGAAAACTCTTATCACTACGTGATTTGTGTGTCTTCTACAACGACATTACGCAGGAAATATTTACAGCTCTTAGAAAAATCGTGGGCAATTATGCGTTGTTATCGATCTGCCATTATTCAGATGTGAAGCAGGAAGGGACATGTTTATAACGTACACTCATCAGCAGCAGTGCTGGCAAGCATTTTATTTTCGGGGGTGGGGGTGGTTGGAGGTGTTGGGGGTGGGGCGGTAATTATTTTAAAAAATATATTGAAGCCCCTGTTTTACTAAAAATATTCATTTCTTGCCATTTTCGTGCTGACTTGTCCAAAGACCCCAGTTCGTAATATCCTGTTTATGTTGGAAAGAAATAGTTTAGCTCCTAAACGTGTACAAAATGTTGATCTCAAACCCTAAATGGTTCTGTTATGAATTTTGATCTGACGTTAAATATTTCAGTGTTGATATTTATGGTTTGATAAAATTGATCCGGAAGAATAAACTTCCGCCATCGCGTGCTCTGTCTACCAGACACGTATAACACCGAAGAAGATATTTTCGTAATCCGTGCTATAATATAGCTGTATTTTCCGTAAATAGACGGTAGAGCAGATGGTATATTGTTCTCGCAGTGACATGATTGGTAGTTAGGAATAGTGGAGCATATCCGGGGAATGAGAGAGTAAATGAATGTTGTTTTACGCAACAGTAAGCAAATACATTCCGGCAGCCTGTAAATGAAAGAATCTGGACGGGCAAACGAGTGGTTGATAGCATGATTAGCGATGCACGCTCGCGGTTGATGATCATACAGCCAGGCAACACGTGTTTTGTTGTTTAACGCCGCACTAGCAATAGTCCAGCTATAAAACTGGTCTGTAAATAATCGAGTCTTGACCAGACAAGCCAGTGATTGACATCATGAGCATCGACCTATGCAACTGGAATACGATGACATGCATCAGCCCAGTCAGCGAACCTGACCACCCGATCCCGTTAGTCGCCTCTAACGACAGCATAGGCTGCTGCAATCTCATTAAAATCAGATCTTAGTTCTCGCTACCGCTAAACAAAGATCTGAGGACATCCCATTACGGGTCACGTCAGAACGACCTTTCGCGAATTTTGACCGACCAATGAAATGAATGACAAGAAATCGACATTAGCCAATCAGAAGGCAGCTTTCTCGAGCTTTACGACACTAGTTTCAAACTGGCGACTGCGCTTCGAAACATTTTTTGACGTATTCTCGATTAAAAATAGAAAACTGATAAGAAGAACATTCTGGAATGGCTTATGGATGGCCTAGATTGTATGGATATAATCATAAAACCCGTAACTGTCGTTCGGAATACCCTGTGTTAAATATTTCGTGGTTGCATGATTAGAAAAGACATTCCGACTGTCACTTTCATGATCTGGTAAGCGAGGCTCTGATTGGTTGGATGAAAGGTCGTTCTGACGTGACCCTTAATGGGATGTCCTCAGATCTTTGTTTAGCGATAGCGAGAACTAAGATCTGATTTTAGTGAGATTGAGGCTGCTGAAGACCAGTTCGAACCCGGATCGTCAAGGGGAGCAACACATTGCAAGCACTGGCCCTCGAGGTACACACAGGTAGTACTCGGCCCGGAACCTCACGGAGACCTCATCGTACAGATGTATATAGCAGCACGTGTTATACATGCATGTCACGTGATACTTAAGGTCTTGATGACGTGACATGAAGCGTTTAAAAACTAAACAAATAACTTACAACTCATTAATGTGAGTCTGAGTTTATTTCAGTAGAGAGGCCACCGGCCACTTATACAATATAGATACAGTGGATTACAACAATAGCGGGCGCCAGATAATATAAGGGGAATACATAGTGAAACAATTGAATAATTGCATACATTTGAAAACCTGTTGTCGTTTCTTGAAAGCAAGACAAATATATTTAGCTAATTTATTAATAACATGTTTATTTTGGTAAGACATAAGAGTGCAAAATTTATCAAATGAAGGTTGTGAATGGTAATACTTAGGTATAAGACTATTTCTCAGATCTGACTCATTAACTCATTCGGCATTACGCGAACAAAAACCTTATAATTCATAAACGTTATAATTCTGTTGAATGTTGATAAATAATTTCGAAATGTTAATCCTTTGCTGGTACCATTGTATTGATTGCCGTGCTACATAACTGTCTTAGCTAGACTAGACTAAGGTAACATTGTACTATTTTAAAGTTTATTAATACAAATACCTGTCTCGGGCTCGGAGGGGCCCTCAGTCATGTCCCGCTGTAAGGAATAAAATAACATCTATTTCTGAAGTCAGTTGGTCTAAATGATGCGAGCGTATTAACACTGAGGCAAAAGTTACGATTATCGGAGAGATTCGTTTGCTGGGGAAACACAGACCTGGGGCCTTTAAGACCCTAATCAATGCTCTCTTTAACCGATTGAAACCTGGTCATTTGGTCACTCTAGGAATTGATGCTGTGTGTCTTTCGTGTACCCGCATAGACGGCGGTTGTCAACGCAGCAACCGACTTATATCGACTTCGATACTTTGAAAAAGTCTTTTATATACAAAATCAATTACGAATCGCTTACTGACAGTTATTTCCCCATTGGAGTTGACCATAAGAGGCTGAAGGTTCTTGTGGGGGACTGGTTCCCAACTTGGGTTATAGGAATTAGGGGAGACGTGGCCGATGCAAGTGGATAGTCGACAGGTGATAGATCGATTGTAGATGAATAGATAGTTATCTGGATGGCGCTATACTGTTGTCACCTGGTGTATTATGATATCGGACTCGGGGTTTGTGGGTCGATATCGGCGAGTCGCTCTGCTGATTTGCTGAAAATGAAACCATGTTGGTCGCCATTACGTTGTAGGGTTATTGGTGACGACGCAGAGACCATGTCATCCATCCAATCGCTCACTCCTCAATGGAACTTAATATATCACTCATGCATGTGTGTGTGTGTGTGTGTGTGTGTGTGTTTGTGTGTGTTTGTGTGTGTGTTTGTGTGTGTGTCTCCTTTCCCCCGTCACGAGATGAGAGAAAATAATATTTTACGAGACACGTGGAATATCATATTTGTATTTTACTTTTTGTGTAGTTGTCTGCTGGAAAATTAAAATATTTTATTACAAATTAAAACTTTTAAACATAAATTCTCCCAACCTAACACACAGAGACGTTTCACCATCCCTTGTAATTGCGACAATTTTCCGTGTTTGCAAAATCTCTAAATATATGAACAAAGGTAACAAAAAAATATTTGAGGTCACTAAAATTCTTTATCATACATTTGGATATGATTAATAACAAAATCAGCTTCAACGAGAAATATTCTTAAAATCTACGAGACCGCTGTTAGAAACGAAGGAATACACGCAGGTCAAGTAACAGGTCAAGAAATTTACAGTTTATAACAAAACATTGTCAAGAGAATAACAAACAGCATGCAAGAAGCGATAGTAACTCCATAAATGACCATCTGTCATTATTTTGCCTTGTCATTTTGGAACTAACGTAAAAATGAATCTAACAGTTTGTCTATGGGCTTGTCACTTACGACAAAGGGAGACAATTTGCGGGGAGAAAACTCTTGTATGACAGTAGTTACGTCAAAGTTCACTGCCTTGAAATATCAAGTGTCATGTTCACTGCAATGAAAGTATCACTTTTCTCAACTTCTGAAAACCCGGGCTTTCACACTGAAGTATATAATAAATAAATAAATGTACATTATCACTCACTCGTGCACACTCTCACTCACTCATGCACACTATCACTCACTCATGTACATTATCACTCACTCAGGCACATTATCACTCACTCATGCACAATATCACTCACTCATGCACAATATCACTCACTCATGCACACTATCACTCACTCATGCACAATATCACTCACTCATGCACAATATCACTCACTCATGCACACTATCACTCACCAAACCTGTATTCATGGGCTTCATCATTGGGTTAACATCCAACACCTGCGTCGCTTCGAGTTTCCATGTCGCATCACGCCACACTATAACCAGGTACTGTTGTTCTGACCCGCGTTAAGTCAGACTCACTTACTGGAAATAAATAACGCCAACTATTTCGTAAATAAGCTGTATGTTACAAGCTCGTTGTTAGAGTGAGTGAGTCATTAAGTGCATAATGCATAACGCCGCGGTCGGAGATATTCCAGATATTATGACGACGGTCTTCTTGGAGTCTAGGTACGGGTGCCTATTCCGCCCCGGTATCCTCAACAGGTCTTAATTTACCCGAAGATAGTTAGATTAGATTTAATGGTTTTACCCCTTGGGACCAACTTATTCTCGGACACTGAGCAAAGTGGAACCTTGCTATTGAGTCACCTTAGTGAATCCAGCCCAGGCACTTCCAGTAGTGGATTATTAATGAGCAGTAATTGAGCCTCGGCTGCTCAGTCTTCGAAACACAAAGCTAACACAGCCCACCAATTCATGTTCAAATTGCTTCTGAAAATTGAGGAAGGACGAAGTTCGTTGTCCCTCGAGTCGCCACTTTGCACGTAATTACAAGTTAGTGGCAGTGTGTCCGCCTCTCGCGGTGCCTCCTGCTACCGCCGATCAATGGACGCAGCGTGCACGTTACGCGGAAGTAGCAGAGATGAGCTACAGCGCGATCTCACCAACACTACTGTTGAAAGAAGCTAAGAGATGCTCGAGCCTGCAAGAAAACACGACAGGAAATCTACACTGCTCCGCTCCGCGCTGCTATAGAGGAATGCCAGCGGTGTTTTAAAATAGACAGATTACACTTCTTGCAAAACTAGCGTGTGTGCTGTGTCAGTGGCAACGACGGAATAAGTTACCTTGGCCAGTGCCTGATGTGGTGCCAACTTTGTCCTAGTCCAACAATGCACACAGACAGGTAAACAGCGACCAAAGCTGCTGCAGCCACACGTGGATACTTTCTCTAGGGGGAGGTGAGTAACGTGATAAGGCAACGGTGCCACGCCCTAGATCTCGGGTGCATGGGGCTGCATGATCACGTCAGATTCTTGGCATGAGTTTCTTTTTAAAAAAAATGTTTCATTCAGAGCGATGGTGTGGTGTTCTCATACATACATACCTATATATGGTTCAAGGTTCTGATGGGGTTTAAGTGATTTAACTATTTACTGGGATGAATTTGTGATGACATGGCATATTTTGGGAAAATGTGATCAAACTTTACAAATATGTATTCCAGACTGTTTTTTTAATAGCTTTTCAAAAGCATAGCGACTATTGCGTCGCTGGAACACAATTGACCTTCGTTTAATGTAAATAGTATATCAGGTAGCAAATATGTTTCCGGAGCGCAAATATCAACATACGCGAACATCTGTTCCAGTGTGTTTCTTTGATTGCCGTGAGCGTCTATACAAGCCTCGCTCCTGTCAACGTTATCATGCTGTAGTAGCCCATTGTCATAGATATCTACTCAGCCGCTTACGTCCATCGTTTACCGCATGATACGACAGGCGCACATATCAGCGCTGTATGCTACGGGCATGAGTGCAGAACTTATACGTATGGCACCTGATCTGTTTACACAAGTATTCCTGCATGTACCTTTAGTGCTTAAAAGGCCATGGACATGCCACTTCAAGGATGCCATTACGTTGCACTACGGCACGTATTTGATTTACGGCCTCTGCATAATAAATGGACCTGGATGTGCCGTTAGAGTAAACAAAGATATCCTGTAATAGCAAGAACGCTACGCTAAAACTTAAAACCCTCCTTGCCCCGTTAATAGTTTTGCGTAAATTGAGGCCTGTGATATGGACGAGATACTCTCTAACGAGGGAAGTTTAGCTTCGCCGCAAAATACTGAGCAGAGAATCCCCCACCCTCCCAGGTGTGCCCCTCCCCTCCCCCAACCCCTTCCAGGTGAGTGGAAGGAGGCTCTGGCATATCAACCTGCCAGATGGTCTGAGGTACAATTACCACAGGTACCTCAAAGGTTTACCAGCAACATTTATTAAACATAATTTATTAAGACATCGAATTGAATTTATATGACTACTATTGCATCACACATATACGTGTGTGTAATAGGTAAAGCTGGCTAAATTAACTGTATAACACTACAATTGTGCCGGCCGATATATGAAAATACGTTGATCATAGGCTTTACGGTACGGTGATGTGTATTACGTCAAGGCGATGTGCTTGTTAGGAAGAGGCTGGAACTGTGCTGCACATTCATGCACGTACATTCTGACCTTGACCTCCAATATGCTGCACGTTGTAGTAAGACAGAGAGTACGATTGTTGAGATCTGCCGCCGCGCTGAGCGAGGAGAGGGTGGTGGAATTACGCGTGCTGACGCTGCAGTTTACATGCACGTGCCCGTGAGCAGTATGCTCACGCCACCGATAAAACTTCTAGAAGAAAATAATCAAGACGTGAAATACACCCTCCCTCCCTTGTATCTTTATAACACAGCTCGTGTGCATAAGGACTTTTTGAACATATATTAATCCGGTCCAAAAAGCCCTATTTTGTGAATGTTGGTAGTATACAGATTCAATTTAAAACAATTCAAAATGAAAATAGCTTCATAATATAATACTATTTATACAAATAATGTTTGGAGCAATTTTTATCATATGCATAAAATCCCCATTGCCTAACGGACAGGTATATAAGTTAACCGTTTGATTGGCATTCTGACAGGGATATAAGCTAATCTAATATGATGCATAAACCCCATTGCTAGACTGACATGTAAAGTACAACTTAATGGATTAACCAGAAGTTGTTATCCTGAAAGTACGTTTTCTTAGGTTTATCAGTTAATTCGATGCATAAACCCCATTGCCTGACTGAGAGGTACATCAGTTAATATGATGCATAAACCTCATTGCCAGACTGACAGGTATATCAGTTAATGTGATGCATAAACCCATGGATGGACTGACAGGTATATCAGTTAATGTGATGCATAAACCCATGGATGGACTGACAGTTATATCAGTTAATATGATGCATAAACCCATTGCCTGACTGACAGGTATATCAGTTAATGTGATGCATAAACCCATTGTCTGACTGACAGGTATATCAGTTAATGTGATGCATGAACCCCATTGCTAGACAGACATGTATATCAGTTAATAAACCCCATTGCCTGACTGACAGGTATATCAGTTAATAAACCCCATTGATGGACTGACAGGTATATCAGTTAATGTGATGCATAAACCAATTGCTAGACTGACAGGTAATCAGTTAATGTGATGCATAAACCCCATTGCTAGACTGACAGGTATATCAGTTAATAAACCCAATTGCTAGACTGACAGGTATATCAGTTAATGTGATGCATAAATCCCATTGCCTGACTGACAGGTATATCAGTTAATAAACCCAATTGCTAGACTGACAGGTATATCAGTTAATGTGATGCATAAACCAATTGCCTGACTGACAGGTATATCAGTTAATAAACCCAATTGCTAGACTGACAGGTATATCAGTTAATGTGATGCATAAACCAATTGCCTGACTGACAGGTATATCAGTTAATAAACCCAATTGCTAGACTGACAGGTATATCAGTTAATGTGATGCATAAATCCCATTGCCTGACTGACAGGTATATCAGTTAATATGATGCATAAACCCCATTGATGGACTGACAGGTATATAAGTTAATATGATGCATACACCCCATTGCTAGACTCACAGGTATATCAGTTAATATGATGCAAAAAATAACATTGCTAGACTGACAGGTATATCAGTTTATATGATGTATAAACCTCATTGCTAGACTGACAGGTATATCAGTTAATATGATGCATAAACCCCATTGATGGACTGACAGGTATATCAGTTAATATGATGCATAAACCCATATGCCTGACTGACAGGTATATCAGTTAATATGATGCCTAAACCCCATTGCTAGACTGACAGGTATATTAGTTAATATGATGCATAAACCCATTGCCTGACTGACAGGTATATCAGTTAACGTGGTGCACCGACCCCATTGCTAGTCTGACAGGTATATCAGTTAATATGATGCATAAACCCATTGCCTGACTGACAGGTATATCAGTTAATGTGGTGCATGAACCCAATGCTAGACTGACAGGTGTATCAGTCTTTATGATGCATGAACCCCATTGATGGACTGACAGGTATATCAGTTAATGTGGTGCATAACCACCCACTGACTGACTGACAGGTATATGTAATCAATAAAATATATTTAAACACACAGTTTTAGGTTTACAATCAAAAAGACAATACAATAGGTCAAAAAGGTGGTAGTGGCAATGTGTATGAGACCCAAGAATTAGTGTACTCATGAATGTTCAGAATAGTGTCACTGTTGGGTGTCTTGAGTGAGTGAGTGAGTTGGGTTTTACGCCGCTTTTAACAGTATTCCAGTTATATCACGGCGTGTCAGCTTAATGTGAGGAAAGCCCGAAGTGATGCAGGTCTCAGACGTTTACCACTTTGGTTTGGGTGTCTTGAAGAGACATTTCTCCGTCCTGGAATCCAGAATAGTGTTTGAAGCTGGGTAGGATTGGGCGTTTCCAAATAGGTATCCAAATCACAATTGTCAAGAAGATTAGAAACACGGTCAGGTCGACAAAATTCCTTGTCGCTTTTATATATCTTCAGCTAGCGTTAAGACACTGTCTTATGCAGAATCTTCTCGAACGATCAAGTCTGCCATGTCCATGTATACATTGTTGTTGTTGTTTGTTGTTTTACGCCGCACTCAGCAATAATCAACTATATGACGGCGGTCTGTAAATAATCGAGTCTGAACCAGACAATCCAGAGATTGATATCATGAGCATCGATCCTTGCAATTAGGATACCTTGACATTTAACAAGCAAGTCAGCGAGCCTGACCACCCGATCCCGTTGGTCGCCTCTTACGACAAGCATAGTCGCCTATTACGGCAAGCATGGGTTGCTGAAGATCTGTTCTACTCCGGATCTTCGCGGGTCTTTCATGTGTACAACAAGGACAGGTGGCTCTTAATTCTACTGAAACAAAGCCATACTAGAACGTTGTGAAAGAATGCTGTGAAAGGTTTCTTTGAAATGGACGACTTCTTGATGTACATGCCACACTCTATCAAAGGCACGTAAAATATATGCAACCTGCCTAATTAGTAAAACTGCATTTGTGTGCTGATCCAATCAACTGATTCTGGGAGGAACATCCGTCTTTGCCCATGATACGCTTGATCTCAAGATTAAACTCTGGCAAAGAAAACTCCACCTCATCAATCTCGGATTTTTTGTTCCTCACCTTACAAAGAAAGTCAGTGAATTGTGATTAGTGAACACTTCATGGTTCATGATACTTTGTGGTGTCTAAATTCACCACTAAATGTTGCAATGTCAATAGCATGGCCTGGGTTTAGAGAATGTTTTCTGCTGCTTAACAACTGTCTTTGAAAAGCAACAAAACAGAATGATCGATGCTGTTTGCATCTTTCTATAACAAAACACTACCATCACCAATGCCAATTGCATAAATAGCTTGCTTAAAAGTTTTCTTAAAATCTGGTGCTTAAAAGCCTGAAGAATTCATCAGTATGGCTTTTATTTTTTCAAAAGCTGCGTGGCAGTGGTTGTCCGAAAGAAGTTTTTTGTTCTTTTGGCCAACAATTTAGTGAAAGGCGCCTCTGCATCAGAGAAATTCTTGTTGTCAGAACTTGGAAATTTGCAATAGGTTGTACCAGACATTGACCGACTACATGATTCATTCGTCCCACTCCAGTCTCTTTATCTTGGCCTTAAGTGACGTCATTGATGAGGCGTTGATAGGTAGCCAGTGCACTTTCCAACCCAAATGGCATAACCTTTTACACATTAGTCCATCTCGTGTAGCAAATGTGTTTAAATCTTCTTGGCACTTTCAGTTAGTGGGATCTGGTAATACCTCTTCAAAAGGTTAAAC